GGTGAGATCTGCGAGCAGAAGAGGTCGACTGTGAGCAGAAGATGGTGACCGACAAGAGTGCTGGCGGATCGAAGACGGCGAGGATGTGCGCCAGGCAAAGATGGGCGATCGCGAATACCAGACGAAGGGACGCGGAGGTCGACTGATGAGGTCGACTGATAAGGGGTCACGTCGCGGTGGATCTGTGCGGATGACGGAGACCGGCGAACGACAGGTTGCGTCGCAGATGGGAGTAGCGGCGGATCTGTGCGGATGTCACCGGTGCAGATCGACGGTGAGGACGACGGATCGACGGCAACAGCTGCGTTGTCGTGGGGAGTTCGTCGGAGGTAGACTTAYCGGAAGGAGGAATGGATGYCGGCTAGGGTTTTGATTGACAGCYAGGGTTTTGATTGACGGCTAGGGTTTTGAAATTAGGKTTTGGTATTTTTGATGATGGCTAGGGTTTTGAGAGTTAGGGTTTACTTCCTAAGCTCTGATACCATGTTAATTGGAGAGAGTAAAAAATATACTCCTTGATTCAAACATGTAACTTAGGTCTTCTTATATAGGAGAATGACCTACTACAAACAAGGAAAGTAATAAACACCATAAAGACTGAATATCAACAATAAAGACTAAATATTGACAACTAATATTGACACAAATATTAATAAATCCAACCGGGCCTATTTGAGAACCATTTCATTCCTTGTTTTTGGTTTTTGGTTTTTAGTTTTAGAAAAAAAGGTTGTTTGATAACCCATTCAATTCTCTGTTTTTTGTTTAATTTTCTCTCTAAAAAGACCAACGGGCAAGTTAAAGTGGTATAATAAAGCGTAGAAGTTCAGTAGTGTTGTCCTTATGGGAGAATGTATAATAAATAAGAGGAAATAAAGAGAACAATTAGGTCACTCTCTGAAGGAAAAAAAAAAGTATGGTGGCGGAGGCGGAGGCGACGGAGGCAGCGATGACGGCGGCTTCGTCTAAGGGTAGTGACAGAGGCGACGGCTTCGTCTGAAGAAGAAAGCTAGTCCGGCTTGGCTAGGGTTCTGGCGACGAAGCTAAGGTTTTGAGGGGAAAAAAAATCAAAGCTCCGATACCATGAAGCTTTGTATAGGAGAGAGATTTTTTCTTATTCCTCAAGTGGTGAGTAACATCCATATTTATACAAGGGGCTCTAACCATATGAACTAAAAAGAAACAATTTAGTTTAAAAGATCTTAGCTAACTTCCTAATTTCTAGCTGAATTGGTTCAACTTTAGCTTGATTTTCTACAGGTTGCACATTCGAAACTCCAACCAAATTGATTTAGAAATTTCCTAATACAGCAAGTGCCTTCAACTTCCCAAGATTGCTTGAAGAAATGAACTTTTAGCAGATGTTGGATTAAATCCACAATAACCTCTTCAACCCATTGCAATCGGTTCTAGGAAAGAAAAATCCCAAATCTACGGTTCTTTCTTTTTTCGTCTAACATAAATACTTCATTAGATCGTCTCAAGAAAAAATACTCATCTATCACAGAGCAGCTACTTGAAAGTTGGAACCATGATCCATGACAATTAAGTCTCTCTAATAAACTGAAAAACCCACTGAGGACATTGCAAATGAACTTTAACTTATATAGGAATCGAAATACGAAAGACCTAAAGAGAGAGCGTTCCATTGCTCCTTACTCTATGTGACTAAATGTCATTCACATAAAACCAAATGTCAATTCCACGAAAACCCTTATCCTCAAGCTTTCACAAGTTTAATTTTTCTTAAATCTGACTAAATAAACAATATACTCGTAACACTAGAAAGGAAGAAGAAACTAATCATTTCTTTGAATCGTTAGGCTTGAGCTTGCCTTCTCTTTCATACACCTATCTCACGTTTTACTGGAAGAAGGGAGAATCTCTTTGAGCAGGAACAAGAAGGAAAAGACAATGAGGTAGAAGGAAGTTTTTATAAGCTGAAGTAGGTTTTAGTTTGTAAATTATAAATATATGAGATGACCCTCCAATGCGCTAAAGCTTACTTAAATTGAAGGTTTATGAGGCAATTTATTAACTGTCCTGACAATTAATCTTAGGGTAATTTGTTTCCAAAAAAGAGGCAAAATGATAGTCAATGAGTATCTTTAAACATATAATTAAATATCTAGAAACAAATTACAATGTGACAAAAATGCCCTTCATATTGTCCGGAATATTACCGTAAAGTTGACAATAATTTATTTAGTTCATGATTCAAATTCATTTTAGTTGATTGACATGTTGACGAGAGTCATCTTGATGAAAATTGAGTAAGTATGGTTTTAAATGTTCTCTCAACTTAGTACCAAGTCTATCTATGCAATATTTTATCTTCTCTGATTAATTTTTTTTCCTTCTGACAGTGTGTTTCTTACTTCCTCTTAACTCTTGGTTTTGAACTGCTGCCTCTCCATAAATTGACTCCAAGTGCAGTCAAGGGACGGTGGATGAACCGTTGGAGGAATAGTCTCACAAATCTTGAAATGGGAACTTCACCCCCTAGCTTGGAACCCCTTCTTGCTCCTTCTTCAGAGTATGCTACTCCTGATTTTGATGTCGATGTAGATGTGAAAGCAGAAAGAAATAGGGTGCTATCAGGTTCTACTGACAATGCCATTATTTGCTTGAGTAATCTTCGAAAGGTATTTTCTTTACAATTTTCTATTGAATTGATTATGATGGGATATTTGTAGGTTTGTTTAACAAGATATGAAATTTTTATTTATGAATGAAAATAAGCAAAAGTTCTTCAAAGATACAAACTCACAAAGGAGTGAATGAAACAACAAAAGAAAAACAAGACCAAAAAAGAAGTACGTAGAAAAGACCGAAAAACTAAGGAGAGAAAATAAGGCATTCCAAGAACCACAATTAATGTTGGAAGAATAGTTCTTGAACAAAGATGAATAGAACACCATTGAGAAGACTAATTATTACATGTCAATCTTAAATTGTATTACCTTTAGGTTACTCACCCAAATTTATGTTTCTTTGGTTCCTCCCAGCCTCACACAGAAACTAAGGGTAGTTTAGATACTCTTTTATATGATTTTTCTAGGAATATTTTTATATCTTACCCGTGTGCTTGGCTCAATTTGTCAATTTAACCATAAACTTTGAAAAACAAAATGGCTTGAATAAGGCACAAATAATACCTCCTCAAAACTAAATTAGAAAACTACTCCTAAACCAACCAATACATATTAAAAAAAAATCAAATAAAAAAACACTCTAGAGTTAGAATTGACCAAACTGAACCTCAAAATTACCCAGACCTAGCAACAAACTAAAGTAGAATAAAAGTGTTCAAACTCAACAATAAAATATTGAAATCAAGTCAAAAAGCATCCAACATGACCAAAAGAATCAATTTCTACAAAATAGTATTGTCCAACCATTACAGTATGTGGCTGCGAAATATGAATTTAACTAAATGAGGATAATAATTGCATCACTTATTCAAGTTTAGGTTATATGAAATGGAAAATTTATGGCTAAAAAATGATCTTTTCCCTTTTTGCTAGTAGGCATGTTTTCCTCTCTAGTTCAGTTCCTTTTCTAACCATAAACGATAGGCAAATTCTTCCCTCAGCTTTAGTGGGATGAACCAATTTTATTCCTCCCGAATAATTAATAGGCCAATTCCCCTCTTACGTCCTAATAAATAGTTTTTATTTTTACATTCATTATGGTGATAATCAATGTTGTGTAGTTCTCAGTAATTGAAGGTAAAATGGCTATTATTTATCGTTATAAATAGCTTTAGGGACTACAAAAGTAATTTGTAATGTTAGAAGTAAATGTAATGTTCTTAAAGGCATGAAAAGTTGCATTTTTTAAGTAAAGTGAAGTATATCCCTTATTTACATTTTCTATAATCTGCCTGCTATCCGTATACTTAACATGAAAGTGGACATTTAACCATACAAAGGGGAGATTGGAAGTTTGATTGGGGAAGTCGAGATTCTTCATAGCATTAAAATTATTGCATGAATCTAAGCTTTTTTTTTTTTTTTTAATCTTCTACTTGGATAGGATTGAACTTAACTTTGTTGACATTGAGAGTTGAACATCATTGTAGCATCTTAGTCATTTGTGACCATTTTCAGGTATATCCTGGAGAAAATTATCTCCACAAGAAAGTTGCAGTGGATTCTTTAACTTTCTCAGTTCAAGAGGGAGAATGCTTTGGGTTTTTAGGAACAAATGGTGCTGGGAAGACAACAACCCTATCAATGCTTACTGGTATAACCTGTTTTTCCCTCTTAGTTTCTACTATGGCAAAACTCTTGATAAGGGGGTACATCAATTCTCGTATTTTGTATGAGAATCCGAGCTTTCATTTAGTTAATTGTTAATGAAACTTATCGAGATTTTTACTGATTCACCGGATCAATCAATATAACTTTGGTATAGCGCAATAACTTATCAAAGGAGTTCCCATTGTTTAATCAAGAAGTCCAACACTTAATCCATATAACTTTAGATTTAATCCTTTACAAAATATCTGTAGCTTTTTAAATTAATTATCGTTCTTTTCCCTCCCCACAGTTTTCAAATATTCGTCATCCTAAATCTTCTAAAGTCAATATAATTTCAATGTTAAAGCTAAACGTTTCCAGGTGAAGAATCTCCCAGTGAGGGAACTGCTTTCATTTTTGGAAAAGATATAAGATTCGATCCCAAGGCTGCGCGTTGTCATGTATGTAAAACAATTATTTTTACCCATTTATTTTAAACTTTTCTGTTATTACACCCTAATTATTTTTGCAATGGTTATATATACTGCAGCTGAACTTTTTTTTGTTCTATCTGTAAGCAGATTGGATATTGCCCTCAGTTCGATGCTCTACTTGAATTCCTTACTGCCAAGGAACATCTAGAACTTTATGCAAGAATAAAAGGTGTTCCTGAGTTCAAGATAAATGATGTACGTATCTTTGTTCAATTTTCAGTGTAATTTTTGCAAAATAGTTGGTGCGAACTTGTATCCAAGGATTTCACGTGCACTACTTTCTTGCCCCTTTTTAGTCAACTTGAATTATTTAGCCCCCATTCGATTTCATGTTTAGCTTTTTGTTTCTAAAAATTATGTCTACTCCCAATTTCTTTGATATGGTTTTCATCATTTGAAGAAACATGTTTGAATTTTTGGCAATATTTAAAAAAGAATTGTTTTTTTTTTCAAAGGTTGGCTTAGATTTTCAAATTTTTTTTTAAATTATATAATTATAGGTTAAATTACCAATAAACCCAAAAGCTTAAGCTTATTAGTTAGGATAAATTTACTCATTTTATAGTTATCTTAACACTCCGCCTCACTAGTGGGTTAGAAATTTGCACAAGGTCCAATGAGTATAAATTAATATTAAATGGGAAGGAAATGACAATATAGAGGTTCAAACACAGGATCTCCAGTTTTGATACCATTTTACATGTTAAATCATCAATTATCCCAAAAGATTGAGCTTATGGATTAGGGTAAATTTAATCATTTATAGATATCTTAATAATAAGAATGCAAAAAAATACAGGTGAAAGAAGCGTTTATAAGCTAATTTTTTTAAAATAGAAAACGAAAATCAAAATGGTATCAAACCGGGCCTTAGATTTGAGTGTGATAAGATGTGAATCGATTAAATTGCTCGTCTAGGCAATAAATCTAACATGACTGGTTGTTTTTCTTTATTGTTTCCATTTTAGATTTAAGACTAAATCAAGAATCAATCTGAACCAATTTTCTCAAAAGTAAATACATTAAAGTTTACTCTAGTGTTTGATGTCTACATCGTTTAAAAATTTGAGATTGTATGACTATCTGTGTAGGTCGTTATGGAGAAACTGGTGGACTTTGACTTGCTGAAGCATGCTAATAAACCTTCATATTCACTCAGTGGAGGAAACAAACGTAAACTCTCGGTTGCAATTGCAATGATTGGCGAACCTCCTGTCGTTATTCTTGATGAGCCATCCACAGGTACTCCTTATAACTATTTTTTCTAATTGTTGATAGGTTATATTTGATATTCTTCTGTAAACCGAGTTTGTTTTTGGTGAATAATTTTCAACAACTTTGAAATAAATGAACAAACAAGATTTTAATTTAATCATTATTGTCCCTTTGCAAGGTATATGTTAAGTCGTCATTTATCCCAAAAGCTTAGACGGATGAGTTACCATAAATTTATTTATTTTCTATTAAGGATGAATAAACGAATCACCCCTCAACCAAAAAGCTTAAACTGATGGGTTGGATAAATTTAATTCATATATTGGATATCTAACACTCCTCCTCACTTGTGGGCTTGGATAATTGCACAGTCCAACAAGTGGAAATCATTATAAATTGGTAAGGAACAACAATGCAGGGGTTGGAACACAGACCTCCTGCTCTGATACTATATTAAGGATGAATAAACCACTACTCAACTCAAAAGCTTAATCTAATGGGTTTGGTAGATTTAATTCATATTTTGGATATATGGCATTTTCATAATAAATGAGGAGTTTTTTCTTGGAAAAAAAAAAGGGAAAAAAAAAGACTCTCACTTGCGTGCCTAAAAATTAGCAACAAAACGTAACAAGTGGCTATCAATATTAATTGGAAGGAAATGACATTACAGGAATTCAAACATAGGACATCTTTTTCTAATACCATGTTAAATCACTATTGAACTCAAAAGCCTAAACTGATGGACAGCAATAAATTCAATCTTTTGTTTATATTCTTAATTTTATGCCATTGATGCAAGTCGAAAATGTCATTCTTAACTTTTGTGCAAATCCCGGCCCCAAAATATTTTTAAGCATGTGTAAACAACATTGGTGAAATGAAATAAAATGGTTTCCTTTCTTCATTTGCATTCTCGGTAGATAAATGAGACCTTAACTTTTATGTAGCATTTTATTCCTCGTAGTGCTTTATATATCACCATCACAATTCAATTACTCCCATTTGTCTTATTTCATTGCTAGGGATGGATCCTATTGCCAAACGATTCATGTGGGATGTTATATCCCGGATATCTACCAGACAAGGAAAGACAGCACTTATTCTCACCACACACAGCATGAATGAGGCTCAAGCACTTTGCACTCGTATTGGGATAATGGTAGGAAGTGATTCTTGCTACAAACTGAATCATTTATTGATTTTACCTAGAAACGTATGTTAACTATGCTTATTTTTCATTTGAAGGTCGGGGGACAACTACAGTGCATAGGAAGTCCCCAGCATTTGAAAACACGATTTGGAAATCATCTTGAGCTTGAGGTACTGTAATATATGGCATACGGAGAGTAGTTGGATTACTTTTTAAGTGATTTTGGAGGCCAAAAATGTTTATTTTTCTAATCTAGAGTGTTCGGTAACAAATAAAAATCACTTTTGAAGTAATCGGATCGATTTTAAATCATTTTTGAAGAATTACTAAAAAATTGATTCTTCAAAGAGTGATTCTAAAGTGATTTCTGGAATTACTGTAGAATCACTTTATGGTAATTTGGCATTTGTATAATCAATTTTAGATATAGTACAACCAAACAAACTTGTGATTAAAATCAAGAAAATGTAACCAAACATGTAAGTATTTTTTATTACCATTTTTATAAAGTAGCATTTTAAGGAAAAACAAATTATAGGGTTTAAATTAGAAGGTATGTTCAACTCACCATAAGGCTTTAGTTTGGATTTTTGTGACGGTAAAATAATTGCTTGCATTAAAATTCTTCATGATTTCTTTTTACCACTGCAAAAGCAATTCCAAACAGCCTATAATTCTTTGATATCAATAGTTTGATTTTTAATTGCTCCCAAGGGGTAGCCCTATTTGCAAAAGCATGGGTCTTGTGTATCGCCTACTATAAAGTCTTGCATTCAAACTCTTGGGTGAACTTAATACCAAAAACTCTTGATGTCTCCTAGATCCGAGCTTTGGGGTAGGTACGGGTGCCCCAATTATAGCTACCAATTTTGGGTTATCAAAAAAATATTTTGATTTTGAATTCTCTTTCTGCAGGTCAAACCTTATGAAATCCTCTCAGAGGACTTGTATAAGCTTTGCCAAAACATTCGTGAACGGTTTTTTGATTTTCCTTCACACCCAAGAAGCTTATTGAATGACCTTGAAGTTTGTATTGGAGCTATTGAGATCACAGCAGAAAATCAATCAGTGACAGAGGTTAGTTTGTCGAGGCAAATGTTAACCATAATTGGACGTTGGCTTGGTAATGAAGAAAGAATAAAAACACTTGTATCCTCACCGTCTACTGCTCCTGGAGTTTTTGGTGAACAATTGACAGAGCAATTGTTCAGAGATGGTACGTGGACTTCTTGTCATTATCTCCTTAAAATTTATATTTCTCTTTTGCCTCAAATATAAGTAGTCAGTTTTAAAATATCTCATTGCCAATATCATTTCATAAAGATAGTGAGTGTATGTAGCATCATCTTGTAAATTCATTGTCTGTCAGATTCATTTCTTCATGCACATATTTTACTTGAACCTATCAGTTAATTGGTATTGAAAGTTAGAGGGAATACTCTGCCTTTTTTTCATTTTATGTCCATGCCTCTTGGACAACCGTCATATTTCCTTGATCATGACATAAAATTATCCTATTTTATTTGAAATTCTTGGGGGTCATTTGATAACTATTTCGTTTTTAGTTTTCTATTTTAAAAGTATGCTTGTTTTTATACAATTTCATTATAACTTTCAACACTCTTGAAAACGTATTTGAATTCTTCGACAAATTTAAAAATTAAAAAAAAAAAAAAATTTTAGAACTTCTTTTTGGCTTTCAAAATTTGACATGGATTTTGAAAATGTTTAATAGAACAACATTGATAAAAATGACGTTTCTGAGCGTAATTTTTAAAAACAGAAAATCAAAAACAACCATTGGCTTATTATTTTTCTTAGTTTTCATTATGGAGCAAAAAATCTTAAATATCCTTGATGATGGGACGTAGGAGTGCCTTATTGTAGTTTATCATTTTGCTAGGCCTATACCCCATCATGTATATTGTACTTGTTAAGTCTTAAGAGTACAAATTTATTAGTATAAAGTCTTAAGAGTACAAATTTATTAGTAAATGCAATTATACGAGGAAAAAAATCTAAAATTTATCTTTTCAGACCATCACCATAGGGTAGGAGAAAAGGCATTCACTCCTATTAGAGCTTCCAGAAGCACCCCCTCAAGTAAAAAGCTTCTACGGCCAGTGTGGCCAAAACTAAATTCGTGTTTTGAGAGATGGCTGTAAATTCCATCCAGCATGTTTTTTTTTCCTGAATAAAAACTGTCTAGTTACTAAATTATGGTACTGAGTTACCTTTCTATATGGATTTTTGCAGGCAGTATACCATTGCCTATATTTTGTGAGTGGTGGTTAGCCACAGAGAAGTTCTCAGAGATTAATTCATTTATTCTCTCTTCATTTGCTGGTGCAACATTCCAAGGATGCAATGGGTTAAGTATGAAATATCAGGTATGACTATGATCAGTAGTGGCTTTCTGAGTATTGGAACTTAGTTTCTATAACTATCAATTACAATTTCTATCTCCTTGATATATTTAGATCAGAAATACGAGTTTTCTGAACCATCATTTCAAATTGTGCATGCTTTGAAAACTTCTTTGCCCCAGAAAAGCCTCCATGATCTTCCCAAGGAAAGAGACGTGAAAATAGTTTTAGAAGAAGAGGCATAGGATTTAGTACAAGCACCAGAAGATCCCTCAAAGGATGGGGCATTTGCATATTCTTTTAGTCCTATTGCTCCTTTCATCTTTTGCTAAATCAACATTTTGGGGATTGAATATCGAGCTCGATAGAACTATGTAGCCGGGGGTAGTACAGTAATTAACAAGTTTGTCCTTAGGAGTTTGCTATGAATAGAAGGGTTGGACTTCGGGAAAAGTATGGCAATTTTTTTAGCAGGGTTTAGGCTTGAGTGAGAATACTGAAGAAGTACCTCGAATACTTGGGGAGTTGTATTCCTTTATCCTTTTATCTTTCAGGGTTAGTCTTATTTGGTTTCTGTTCGAGCTCTTGGCTAGCCATTGATAACGAGTGGATTTTTTTACACGGTAATGTATGTCTTTTCCTTGAATGATTGATGCATTAAAAATTGCTTCAAAATCTTCTCAAATGTAGTTGCCTTGTGGGGAGGACGGCCTCTCGCTTGCAGATGCTTTTGGACACCTTGAGAGAAACAGGTAAGATCTATCCATTTACTTAATTCGTGCTCTTCTGAGTTTTCTTAATCACTTGGCTTGACTAGCAATCTGATCTACTCTGTGATGTTTGTTTTCCTCATCCAGAAAACAGCTCGGAATTGCCGAATACAGTCTCGGCCAATCAACATTAGAAACAATATTTAATCATTTTGCCTCAAATCCTTAATTAGAAGTGAATATATCTGCTCTCATTCAAGTCCATGAGACTTCTTGAGAAATTTTTGTATGTCACAACTTTAGTAAATATAACATTGTAATATGATATGAGATGCTTTGATGTTGCATGAGAATTACTCATTTTGATGTAAAAATGTATGGTATGGGGTTTTATTGCTTATAAGACCATGAGCAACAAAGGGAGGACACTGTTTGCTCAGAAATTTGCATATCACTTGTCATTATCTACTAAATTTAAAATCGTGTTAGCCTAAAAAGAAAAAAAAATAAAATAATCTTTTTCTCATGCATCTATGAGTACCCGCTACATTGAATAATTTCTCTTAGGCCTATTCGCTTATTTGCTTATCATTTGTGCATTTGGTCAAGTAATTCAGATGTAATCGTAGCCATTAGAGACGCACATTAAATTTTAGAAAATTGTATAAACGAACGAAAATTGATAGTAGTCAGTCGATATAGATCGTCACCAATTGTTATGGAAAAACATATTTATAATATAGTCTATCATACATCTATCAATGATAGATTATATTCTCTAATAGATTAATAGATGTTTCAACGTTAATTAAATCTTTTCATGAGTGGATTTGAGTTGGGTTTTTTTCTTTTCCCTCCTAGGTTTCCAAATTCATCATGATGTTATATTTGCTATTATATTAGTTTTGTTGTCATATATACAAGCGATTCATTATTTCATTGGAGAAAAATAATTTAGATAAGATGATTCATTTTGCACCAAGCAAAACAACGTCGTTTTAGAGAACCCTAATGAAAGATGATATTTTTGCACAAAAAGTACGGATCCAATTATTATTTTTTAAAAAAGTTGACCAACCAATTGAACCGAACCAGTGTATAGAATTAATGGTCAATTTTACTGTTTTAGCATGGATTTGAGTCCAAAGCTAATTCTGACTAGCTGATGGGTTCATCTAGCAGCAATGAATACAAGGCAATTGATCTATGTGAGGCTTGATGCTTTCTTTCTTCCACATCCTATTGGTCGAATATGGGTTCGATTAAGTTTTTTTTTTTTTTTTACTTAAACCATTTATAGATCATTCTCAATTTCTCATTTTCTTTGATCCTTTCTTTCTCAAGTTTGTTTTACTTCGTCTTCAACGCGTATTAATGAAAAATAGCTCTATCATTATCATTATCATTATCAAAACGGTTGAATTCTTCAACTAAAATAAAGTCAATAGATTGCTCTTATTGAAGAAGCTATTTCAAATTCAAGTTGATGATGGTTTGCGGACAAACTTTCTTTCTATAATAATTATACATCGTTGTTATCATCTATCAAGATATTCATTGTTTCAAAACTTTTATTTTATTTTATTTTGCTTTGACACCAACATTGTTTATTCAGAAAAAGCCCAAAGAAATTACTGCTATCTAGTGTAAATATAGGACTGTGGTTTACCAACAGTGGAAGTTGCATTTTTCTCTATTCTATTGAGAAATAAATGTTCATAATATTTGTGATATGAAATTTCTTTTCAGTATAATAAATGTGGGAGTGAGAATTCAAACTTTAATCTTAAAGAATAACTATATATCTTAACCATTGAACTGTTGGTTGGCTTTATATTTGAAATTTATGTCCCTGGTAAGAATAAATAAATACTTCAGACATTTGTAGTACTATAAACTCTAATGCTCCCGTCTCACGCAAGTCGTCGCTGATATCATTGGTTCGGATGCGCTTTCTCAGTTATTGAATATCGTCTTTGAAGATATTTTTTTGCCTCTATCTGGCTGATAGGGTTTAGGAAAGGTCGAGGTCCTCGATGTGAGACAGCCTTTTCAATTTGAGTTGGGAAAGAACCTGTCGGATCAGAAGAAGAGTAATCTGATTCGTGTCATTGGTAACAAATCCTAGAGTAATTTTCAATCAAAAGAAAGATGAATGAAGGGAGTTTTATCTACATTAACCCTTACCCTTATGAATCGTGTCAACACCACATTGATCATATAAATTGAAAAGTGGAGCTTGTGCCCATTTTACATGTTAGCCATTTAGCCTTTATTAGTCTTTATAAATTATAACAAAAACAAAACAAAAAAATCAAATAAAATCTTTTTACAGATTATGTTTCTATACTTCTTCATAATGCACTATTTGCCATCTAACAAGCATAATCTTTCTATAAGCTACTAGATTTTTTAGTAGCCTTTTTAAAATCTAATAATTGCTTTCTCCTCTTTGACCTTCATTTTGCATGATTGAGATAGCAAGAAAGTTGCTGTTTCATTGATCTCTTGATTGTTTTCTCCTCTTTTTCTCTTCCTCTCCCTCTCTCCTTCAACCTCCAACCTCACTCCAAATAGCTTTGGCCTCTCATCTACCTCTTCTTCCTTTGAACTCTTTTTTCCACACTTAGCCACCAAATCAAGAAGCTCTCTACACTTGTTTTTCATGCTCGCGAGCTCGGAGATTAAGGCCCCGTTTTCTTCCTTCAACCGCTTGTTCTGGTCCACGAGAGTATTGTACTCCGAAGACGACGAGTTCGACGAGGATGATCTTTGATCTTCATCGAGCTCGTGATGTTCTGATGCTTCGGCTACGCGTTGTTTGTTGGACGTCCATGCTTTCCTTCTTCGTATTTCACAGAGCTTTTCTTTCTCACCCTTTTGAAATTTGTTGTTGCAAAACTCCCATCTTGTCGTGGCCACCTTTCTAAACCCCTGCGAAAAAGTTTGAATTTGAGAAGAGAATCAAGCACTTGATATGGCTAAATATTATAAGTTTGTTAATTTAGATCTCTGAACCTTAAAAGTGTCTAATAGATACCTAAACAAAATAAAATAAATAAATAATATAAACTTATTAACAAAATCAATCAAACAAAAAAAAATACTGTGAACTTTAAAAGTGTCTAATACATATCTAAACAAAATAAAATAAATAAATAATATAAACTTATTAACAAAATCAATCAAACAAAAAAATACTAGGATTGAAATAGAAAGTAAATGTAATAGTGAAAATTTTCTGGCCCACTCAAAATTTCAATTTAATTATTATTATTTTTCTTTTTAAGACTCCAAAAATTTAAGTTAATGAGTTACAATAAATATAATAGATCCTTAACTTTAAAATGTCTTTTACATAACTAAACTAAAATTTTAAATAAATAATAACTTCATTGACAAAATTGGACAAAAAAAAATAAGGAGTATGCCTTAATATGCTCACTAAAGCCTTTTAAAGATTTTGCCTTCTTTTGTTATCGTCCATTTAGTATGGGTAACAAATATGATTATTATTTAATTTATGCAATTAATTAAACCACATGTCAAATAAAATAAATTTATTGATTGAAAAAATTCAAAATCAAGTTAGGTTGGACAAGTACAACTTAACCATTTTGTTGTGTTTGAAATATCAATCTTTATAAGTAAACTAAGTCTCTAAAGGTCAAAATCAAAATTTATTTTGAAGATAGAAACAAAGACTTTATTCTCCCTTCTACTATTTATTTTATTTTTTTTCTAATTCAATAAATTTACCCTCCTAACGAATATAATGGGTGTTTTATCTACTGATCACTACGATAATAAAAATCAAGATTTGTTGTAGGGTGAAGTATTGTTCGGTTTGACTTTGTTTTACCTCGTTAACTTTTCAATTAATTTATTGGTAAAAATATATTAAATAATTTTATAGAATTAGTTATTTACATGTTCCTTATTTTTGTTAGTAAACTAAGGTACAAAAAAGGCCATTGAGTTTATTTCAAAACGTTTACCTCCTCACGACCTTAGTTTTACATCTTTTTGTTTGAATGGGTAATATCTTAAAAAAAAATAATAAGAGACAAGGAAAAGAAATGTAAATAATATTTTGTCTTTAAAATCTAATCCCCATCATAAAATTCATGGACCCACTCTCCTATTCTCAAAAATTAAAAAAGTATATATATCATACTCAAAACAAAACTTATTCATTCCCGATAACCAACGCAACAGGGCAAGGATCTTGGGCCTTGTGGTATCATTTATCATGAGGTCTTGAATTTAAACTCTATGTTGGTTACTGTGTTACTTAGACAATGAGCCTCTCTTACAGGAATCGATTCGAAGAAATTAAAAAAAAAAAACCTAATTTAAAAACAAAAAACAAAACATAACTTAGCCAAACTATATCTTGTTCTTCCTTTTCCTATTTAATTTTCCATTTTTAGTAAAAACTTAACAAGATCTAAACCCATGCATTTTCTCTTTCATCTCGTCAATTCCCAAGCTAAAAACAAAACATATTTCAACCCAAGATTTGGTAAAGACATTTAGAATTTCCTTAAAAGTTAAAATTTGAATTTCCAATCACACCCCATCAAATTAAACCTTTATGATTTGAGTCAATTTAATAATTTTTTCAAAAGTTTCGAGTTGACGGTCAAAATTTTCCATTTGATCCTTATATTTTGGTCAAATCTCACCAACTATATAAATTTAGCTGAAGATAAAAGGTAAGATTTTCAAGTGAGCAGCAAAAAGTAGTTTAAATAATAACTAGGGACCATATCGAAACTTATAAGGACCAAATTGAAATTAGTGGACGAAATCCATAATTTAACCATAAAAACAAAAAAAATTAAAAGATACGTACGTATGTATTAAGTTGGCGAACAAAGCTAGAGAAGTTGCAGTGCTTGAAGAGAGTAGGAAGAACATCCTTGGCGAACTCCGCCGTCTGCCACACCACAAACGCCGTCCCGTCGCCGTTCCACGATATCACGTCGTCGGTCGCCGGATCCTCCACTGCTTTATAAGTCTTCACCAGAAACGGCGGCGGCGTTGACTTTCTCATTATCACACTCTCCTCCTCCGCCGCCGCTGCCGGCGACCCCTTCCGATCATTGCTCACGCCGGCCTCCATGTTAACAATTAAGTAGAATATGAGAGATGAGGATATGGATGGAATTTATGGATTTTGTGGGATTTTAGAGAAGGAGAAATTAAAGGGGTTTTGTAGATATATAATGAAGAGAACAAGAATTCTTCTCTCTCTCTCGAGAAATGGACGACCATTTCTATGTTTTATAGTCAAAATTTTTCTCTGTTTGAATATTTTAATGATGTTTTGTTTTAGGTTTTTGTGTTGAATAAGATTAAACTTGCTTTGTTGTTAGGAAAAGGATAAAGTTTTTGATGAAGAGATAATATATGATGTGTTCGTATTTACTTTTGGGGCAAAAAAAGATGGATTTTTTTTCCTTTTAAATATATGTATTTGGCTTTTGACTGATTCATATATATTATACATTTTTTCATGTTATCTATATATGGTGTGAGGTTTTGTTTTGACTAAGCATCTTTGGGTCAAAGGAGTGAGTAAGAGCTTTTGAGAAACTAAAGACTTTCTTATTTTAGGTTTAAATAATAGTTTTGGTCTTTGAATTTTGAATTTTGAAAATATTGGTATATCATATCTAGTTTACCTTTATAAATAATTTTTTAATGTTAGTGTGGATCTTTCTTTATTTTAAATACGATACTGAAACGTGTCAAAATAATGAATGAAACGAGTATCCATACTTGTGTAACACCAAATTTTTTTCCTTTAGAGTACTATCCCGTGACAATAAGTGGCACAAGAGAGTTATGGCTAGATGGATAAGATAATATAAGAGGGGTGGGCCAAAAACGATGATTTAAAATGTATTCCACTCAACCATTTGATTTTTTTACCCACCTACTCTTATTTTATCTAATTGACCTAAGTTTTTTTTCGTGTCATGTTGTAAACAAATCATAGAAAATTATAATCTAATTTTATTCCAGATATCATCAAGGTGTTAAAAGGTAAGAACTTTATGAAATAAAAATCAGAAGGAAAAGTTTAGACACATAATTAAATTATTTTTAACCTAAGAAATAAATGGACACAACTATTAGAGTTCAGAGTTAGGAAGACAAATATTTTCAAATTTAGAAAAAAGAAAAAAATTATCATATTTTGTTAAAATAATTTCAAATTTATGGTATTCTCAATTTTTTCCCCAAAGAAAAACCTAGATCACCCCCTCACAATAACCCATGTTTATAATGTTGAGATTATAAACAAAAAGCAAAGAGAAAAACCACTTTATACCCTTTTTACACATAATTTAAACAATTTAAATATTATAATTGTTGAGTCAAAAGTGGGGAGGAAAAGCAATCCAATAATATATACATGAAAATTAAAAGCAAAACATTGAGATTTTAATTTGTTTGGTTCAAAGTTGAGGGTTTCTTTTTAGTTGGGAGAGTTTGATACTTCACTTTCTTTGATTACAACATCACAAATCCTTCACCTAATTTCATTTTCTCTCTCTCACTTTAATTAAATTGTTCATCTTTGACTTCTCTCTCCCCAAAATTTTACGAAGAACAAATTTTCTTGGAGGAGAGAGAGAAAGTCAAGTGGTGGGTCAATTGGTCCTATCAAAACAATGACCTACCCTACATCTTCTTATTAGAATTCGAGTATAACTCAATTTGTTAAAGCATATTATTTGGTAAAAACTTCACTCAATTTATCAATCTTCTAGAGTCTCGTCAAATTATTGATTTATTTGAAATCTCTATATTTTTAATTTTGATTCATTTCAATCTCTGTAATTTCAAAATGTTTGGTACAACGATCTCAATTGGCCAGAGGCCTTTTAGGTGAAACCAAAATTAAAGTCGTGAGAGTTATGTGTCTAGAGCGCGTAGATAAATATCATATCATTGTGAAAAATACTTTGAAGTAGGGGGATAATGTTGTCCTTAACAAGTGGTAACAGAGTCATGACAAAAAACCTAGCTATGTGGCGGGAAATTCTCGGATGTCAAACATGAGTCATTCGTGAGCCCTCCTGTACTTTTAAAAAAGATCATTTTAGTCCATGTTTATAAAATTTTAACACATATTTTACATATAATAGAGATATAAATTTATGACTACATTTTAAAAAAAATTCAGTGAGCGAAATGTAGTGCAGAGATCGAAACAAAATACATGAGCTAAGATGAATAAAAATTTAAAATACAAAAGACTAAATAAACTTAAAGTATAAGACTAAAATAGTAATTAATCTCAGGAATGAATTCAAATTACATGATGTTTAGTAATTAATTTCTTATATGAAACTTTGATAACCAAATGTAGTAGGGTCAAACGGTTGTCCGGTAACATTAGTCGAAGTAGGATCGGGACACTGATAGGTATAAATATTTTTTTTAAAAAAAGAATAGTAATTAGTCTCGGATATTCCTTGAATTTTAGGGTATGTTGGGCCATTAGGTGGAAGAAGATTGTCAAAATATGCCTCATTTGGTTGAAAAAATTCAAATTGCATACATTCTAGAAACTTTTTTAGGCCACAAACCATTTTGACTATTGGAGCGTGTAACGCACGCGCTGACGTGAAGGCGTGGAAGAAATTTACAATTTTTGACAAATTTGATTATTTTATTGGATTTTTTGGATTGGGGTTCGGCCGCTGAGGCCAAGTTCTTTCTCAACCTTACATAAATTCTTAATTACCTCTTTGCCCTCCAACTGCCACGTGGCGACTCGATTTCTTTTTCTTTTTCCTTTTCTTTCATGGCAACCTAATTAATTCGCCAAATGTAATTTTTACGCCCTAATCTTCGGATGATTTTTTAATTTAGTCCGTATTGTTTAAAAAGATCCAATTTATCAATTTAGTCTTTCTATGTTTCTGAGTGTTAAAATTGGTTGATGATATACTTGCATGACATAATATTTATTGAATGGATGGAAAATCAGAGAAGAGAAAATAACATAAAAAGAAAAACAACTTCCAAAACTTGGAAGTTGTATTAATTTCATAGAAATTTAGAGGATGAATTAGGTTTTCTTCTCTTAAATTTCTGTTAATTCAGTAAATATTATGCTATGCTATGTAAGTTAATATCAGCCAATTTTAACATTTACCAACGGTAAGAAACTAAATTAAAAAATCATCAAAATATTAAAGCTAAAACATATATTAAACTTAATTAATTAATTTAAAATAGTTTCAAAATATATATTAGTGTAGGTTAGAGATGCACACAATATAATTTTTTATGCATTGAGATGTATAAAGATAACATTCACTTAATATATGTTTAAAAAAAAGATATTCACTTAATATATATTCTAAGAAAATAAAAACCTCAATTAATACTTTTGAGAATTAATATTAAAATTTCATAAGTCGTGAAATTCAAAAAAAAAATTTGTAACTTTTTCATCATCTACTATAAAAGAATGTTTTCATACATAATTTATCTACCACCATTTTGAACTCCATTTTTTTGTTTATTTTTAGTTTGTTTTCTTACCTAATTTATCCACCTCTATTTTTTTTAGTCTCTCTCAATCCGTTGCTCTCAAAATCTCTTTAATCTTAAAATTAAAGTAGCTTAAAATATATGTGATACATTGAAGTGGCATGAAATTAATTTCAATATGTATCTCAAATCTAGCTTCAGATGTTACAATTCCACTTTGACGTTTTTTTTTTTTTTAGTCACTTTGACGTCGTTGAACAATAGTATTTGTTACCAACTACGAGATGAGATAAATACTATTTTAATGAAAGTGTATATATCTATACTTTTCTTTAGTTTTTTAAATCTATTGTTTCTTTTCATTGTTAATTTATAATTAATATTATTTTATATTTAAAATATTTGTGTATGCTTTAAATTTATCAACTTGATGTCCTTTATGTTCAAAATTTATAAGAAATTTATTATATTTTTCAAATTATTTTTTCTTATTTTTCTAATAACAATACTTGAATATTAAGTAAAAATATTTAATTTAAAATTAAATTGTCAATCTTTTTATTGTAAGAGTCTATTACAATTTTTAATAAATCCCCATAAAATTTATAATATTATAGTTTTATTTTTAAATTTATTACAATTTTTAAATAATAGATAGGTTAATATAAACCATTAACCAATTTTCATAAAATAAAAATACATAAAATTAATTTTAATTATTCTTAAAATTTTAAATGGTAATCTATTCTATTAATTGTTGGATGTTTAATATGTGAAAGAAAGTGAGAAAATCGTCGAGTATACAAATTTAACATCCGAATTAAATTTGTGTATTAAGAATTTACAACTTATTTTATATTTGTAACAAATTCATTATTTATTTCATAAGTTGTTTTTTGTTTCAATTTTGTGTTATGTAACTTTATTTTGTTAGAGTTACATGTTGTTAAAGTTGAATTTATACTTCAAATGAGGAGTTTCTCTTCGTGTTGTTAAAGTTAACTTAATTCATGTGTGAGGAGTTTCATATTTACACAACTATATATAGTTGTGATTTTCTTCATTTTGAAATATCCAAGCATACACAATTGAGTATTCTCCTCCTCCCACAAGAGTTCTCTCTTCTTTTGAGTTGTTCATCTTGTTTATATTGAGAGCAAGTATCTAAGAGTTCTGCCAGATCAGAGTAGTTCGAGGTTGCTGTTCTACTAGAGTTAGTCGTTGTATCCTACTGAAACGATTGCTGTAGACTGCTAGCAGCTTGTGCAGAGCGAATAATTGTCTTCACGTCAGCGCTACTGAAGCGTGTCACTACTATATTTAACTGTGTTCATCAAATTGTCAGAACTATATTGTTTGTAGCTAGTTATGTTGTAATCTGTTTTCCAGTGTTATAGTTTACATATACAGTGCATATTTACCAGTACTACTAATAATAATTAATCAATTATTTGTATTTGATACAGGGAGTTATTCTAATAATTATAAAAAAAAAAATTAATTTCCTCACCAAACAAGTAATGTTAAATAATTTAAAAGCTTGACATGCACTTATTATTCATAAGTAGCTACACTTTTGTCTTGTATTACATAACTTTAATTCAAATGGGTATATTATCTCTTGGATTCTTGTCTTGGACGTAACGTATCTACTTCAATAATTTATAATTTCTCGAAGATAATGAGATTAACTTTTGTTTTAATTTTTTTTTTTTTTTAAAGAAAAATTTA